AAAAATATACTCTCTTTTATTTAATAAAATAGCATAAACATAATATTTTAAATACTTTTCGCTAAAAACAAAACAAATAAAAACAAGATTTGGGCTACGGATGTAGTTCAGTGGAAGAGAGCCTGCCTTGCATTCACAGATACATGCAGGAGAATGCAAGCAGGAGAAAAATGCTAAGCCCTGGAAATTTTCAACATTCAAATAATATCCCAAATATATATATATTTGGGATATATATCCCAGCACTTTCCAGCCCTAAGTGCTAGATTCAAAGACGTGCCACCAAGTCCATTCCCAATTTTTTTTTTTTTACAAAAATTTTACTCCAATACAAAAATGTCTTTTTTTGGTTTTAGAATTAAAAACACAGATAACTCATGTATCATTCAATATAAAATAGGATTGGATAATATTAAATTACTAATATGAATCTGTTGGGTTCGGAGTGGAAGCCGAGAAAACTCACTTCAGAGAAAGAAGCTTAAAATGCCAGTTCAGGATCTCAACCATGTCCCCAAAGGGAGATTGCACGACATTTTTAAAGGCTACGAACACAAAGTGAGAGGGAGCAGGGTGGGCTGTTGCGTTGACCAATCATACTTTGATACAAGGAAGTTAACTGTGTGACTGGGTCTTTCCAGACCACTGGAAACTCGGTTATGAACTGTTTTGACCCTGAAGCAAGACGGAACTTGTTTCTAAGATGGCTAGACCCAGAAAATTATCTTCCAACATATCTTATATTTAAAGCTAATCTTAAGCACACAATTATTTTTTTATCTAATAGAGGAATAAGTTATTGATTGGCAGAAACGTGGAAGTGCTAAATTATACTGACTTACTATTTTGTTGTGGTGACAATAGTCTTTTCTAACAAATGAGTAGCAAGGCTTCAATGAGTTTTTTTTCCTCTAGTTAAAAAAAAAAAAAAAGAATTGAATTGAAGCACTACATAGGACATGCCTTATCTTTGCTAGCGATACTAAGGATCTTGACCTGACTAGATGCTCAGGCATGCTTTTCTGCTCAGTAGTTAATATTTCTAGAGACCAAAGTAGATAATCTCCAGGATATTCTAGTTTGATGTACACTTTTCCAATCTGAAATCAGACAGGAGCCTCCCTTCCAGATTTCTCTGTGGTTTGATTATGTCTGAATCCTGGTGCTTTTTATTATACCTGACAGATATGGGGCTCTTAACCTTCCTAGAGGTTGTCCTTAAAAGGCATGAATTTCTTTGCTTGGAATTTCTAAGATGGAAGAGCTTTCCCTAGCTAAATTCTGTTGTGTTCAAGCCAAGGACACTGGAGGTGCTGAGGAGTCATTTAACTGGGCTGCCTAGTTCCAAGTCTAAAAAGTTTGAAGAAATAGACAGCACTTAGAGCATCTCAGTTCACCCTATATTGGTTTACTGAACTGTATAACTACAGAGGTAGAATTGGACCACCATAAGATTTAAAGATCTGGGCTGGAGAGATGGCTCAGAGGCCCTGAGCATTGGTTGCTCTTCCAAAAGTCCTGAGTTCAATTCCCAGTCACCACTTGGTGGCTACAACGATCTATAATGAGATCTGGTGCTCTCTTCTGGAGTGCAGGTATACACGCAAGCAGAACATTGTATACATAATAAATAAATAAATCTTAAAAAGTGTTTAAAACATTAGAGATCTTCCTTACGAACATGGAGACGCATGAATGTTGGCCTGGACAGAACACACGCAGGGAAAGACAAAGCCACTGTCCTGGTTACCTGTGGTTTCTTTCCTTCCAGGTTCTCAGGCTTTTAGACTCCGCCCTGGCCCACGAACTTGGGTCAGCAGATTCTCCAGGGCCTAGACCTTAGATTGGAACTAATCTGTTGGTTCTCCTGGGGCCTCCAGACAACAGTGAGCAAAGGATGAAACTTCTCAGTCTCTGTAATCACAGGTAACAATCACTTACATTGGATTCGTCCTGTAGAAAATGCATACATGTATCCTAGTGAGTACAATTTTCTGGAGAATCCTGACACATATATCGTTTATCTAAATCTAAATATTCAATTTTGCAGCTGGGAGATCACAAATTGCCCATAGGACTTCAACAAGTCTAAAAATTGGGCACAAGAGAGATGACTAAGAGATTAGGTACCTGTACTGCAAATTGCAGATGGCCCAGGCTATGCTCCCTGTGCCCACATCAGGCAGCTCACCATCACCTTTAATAAACATAAGCATACTTTAACAATTAATAAATATTTTATAAATGTTTAGTTCAATGCCATATTAAAGCGCTCCTCTGTTGCAGGATATTTGATCCCATTGTGAACCCCAAAACTGTGAACCGTAAAACCCTGTTTTGTTTTGTTTTTTGTTGTTGTTTTTTGTTTGTTTGTTTGTTTGTTTTGGTGTGGTTCAGCCTTAACACACACCTTTAATCCAAGAACGTCCTATTTATTGTAAACTGGTGATTATGGTGTGGCTCAGCCAGCCCCAGCACACAACTTTAATCCAAGAGCTTTCTGTACATAGGATTTAATAAAGTTAACACTAGGTCAAGAGGCAGAGCAAGACACCAGCTGACACGGATTAAAGAGTAGGAGGAATTTTGAGTTGACATTTATTTAAGACAGTATGGAGAAGGAGAAAGCTTTGGCTTTAGCTTAGGCTTCAGCTCCTTCGATCCTTGGCATTTTGGGCTTTGACCTAGCAAACCTTTGTCTTACTACTGGACTGTCAGCTAAGCTAGTGAAATTTGGGGGTTTTTGCATTCAGACTGAGCTGAGAAAGAAGGTCATCTAGATGCTTTCTCTGCCTCTCTGAACTAGCAAGTTTTCACCCCAGCATCTGGCTCCTGAGTCTTTATTGGTAAAATAGAGCGGTTGGGATTTTCCTTCTTTTAAAGAACACTCCTCTTTTAAGGAGTTTTGCTATATAAATCTGGTTAATGGCCTGAAAATAGTTATCATTGCTTTTAAGTAAACCACCTGAGAGTTTAACTGTTTTAGTGTTTTACTTTGCAAGTGCCCGTTGACATTCACTCAAAATGCAAATCACAAAATCAAATACAATGAATCTAAGGCCTAAAGTTTCTCTTCCTTTGTGGATGGACCCTATGTTAAAGCCTCAAATAACCTGTAGTGCTATATAATAAAGATTACAGAGCCTGGGCTTAGAATACTGCTAGGAAGCAGAATTCCTCCTCCATCACACCCCCCCCACGCACACACACACCACCACCACCACCACCACCACCACCAGCACCCAGGAACATCTCCATTCAGTAGTTACCTGTTTAATATTATGTTGTGTTATTATCTTCATTACGCTACTAAAGTTTGGAAGGTGCCATTACCCAAAATAACTTGACCTTGACTCCTTACTAATAAGGAATTAGTGCTCTTGATAAGACGTTTAAATCGTTTGCTAAGGTTAGTTTTTCTAAGTTGAAAACGTAGGCGCACCTGAGGTAGCAAGCCATCAGGAGGGGAAACAAACACAAAGTAACTACTCTGCAGCTGCTTCCCAGGAAGCCCTGTGTCACTTATTCCCCTGTGACCAGGACAGTCTTGGAGCTCCTGGCAACAGCAGTCAGCCTAGGAAACAGAACAGAGGCGAAAACAGTACGAAGACTCTTTCTTAGACAGGCTGCACTTGTTTTCAGCTCTACAAACTTCTACCTATAAATAAACTTAAACTGCTTAAGGTTTGTTTTTGGGTGTTTGTTTCAGGACTCACAGGTAGCTGTAACTACACTGTAAAATTCAAATGAAATGAACCCTTTCATGTAGAAGGAGACAGTAGCAAGGAGCCTTGTTTGGACTGAGAGTGAAATCAGGTAAAGGATAATGATAAATATACTGAGTTGCTAACAGCAAGCTGAAGTTATATATCACATTGAGCTGTGTGAGCTCAGGGTCCATTTCTCCAGCACTGGAGTGCTGTGCTCTCAGGCTCTCTTCATACACAACCTTCACTTTTCTCAAGACTTGCTCTCCTATGGCTAAAAATACCATGGGAATTCCATGCAAGATTGCTTTCTATGGAAGAACATTATATTCTATGCACACATGTGTTTATGTGTGTCCAGAAATACATATGCAAGTAGTTATTCCTTCCTACGATGCTCTCCAGACTTTCTGTTAGTTCAACGTACTTAGAAACGCAGCGGTCAGAGGGAGAAGAGAATGGAGCTCACTAATCAAAATTCACCTGTAACCCTTCCATCATCCTTTCCTAAACACAGCTCCCCAAGGAATACCAACGTATTCATAAAACACAAGGCAGGAAAAAATTACCTTCCGTGTCATAGGGAAATTTCTTAGAAATGTCCCCACCAGGCATACTAAATCAGAAACTTTGAAGGCATGACCTTCAAATGTTTTAGCTGGGTGATTCTTCTCCCGCTGTAATTTGAGAACCACCTTTGTACCATACAAAAGCAGATGCTGATTTTCTGGCAATGGTTCGAAGCAAATGAGAATGTTTTCTAGTGAAGATGGTACTTTTCTACAGACCGTAATAAGAAAGTGAAGACTGCTAACAGCAAAAGGCACCAAAAGGTTACACAAAAGCCGTTAAGATTTTCAAAAAGAGAAAAATGCGGCAAGGGAAAACTTTCAACAAACTTGAGAATGCAAACAGGGCGGATGGAACAGTTGTGGTAACCGATTTTACCACTTAAGAAAGTATGCAGGGCAGAAAAGTAATCTTGGGGAAACCCGATTTCCTCCACAGAACCGCAATAAGCGGAGGAGTAGAGTTCGGGAAAGGTAAAGGAAGTTCCCAACAGAGGCCACTCCCCAGGTAATGAATAACCTCCCCTCCCAACGCCATGAAAACCCCACTTCCTTTTTGAGATTGTCCGAGAGCTACTGGCAGGCGGGGCCGGGAAGGTGGACTGCCTGGCCTGGCCTCCGGGCGCAGCTGGAGGCTTCTGGAGCTCAGGCTGAGGTCACCTCACTCAGGGTCCCTCTGCGAAGCTTCGGGGAAAGCTGTACTGCCGCTGCGCCTCCTCAAGGGACTGGGACTCAGGACTGGTCGGAGCCCGCTGTCCACAGTCCCGACTTGAGCTCTGCACCGCTGCTAAGCAAGAGGAGCATCAAGTGAGCACCGCGGTCTGAGTGCGCACCGGGGCAGGGTACAAGGATGGGGCGCCGGCTGGGGGGTGGATGGGGATGGTTGGGGTTGCCGGGGGTGGGGTGGGGAAGGCGAACAGGAGCAAGGGCTGCGGACGCTTTGCTCAGGCGGCGGAGGTTTTGGTCTGGAGACGGGGGAAAGTGCGCTGGCGACCACGGAAGTGGATAGGGAACTCAGCCAGAAGCCGTGCCGTCCCCGCTGCTGCTCAGAGATCCGTGCTGGCGTCACTGGTGTCCCCGTGGGCTCTTCAGTTTGGCACACTGTTTCACAGCCTAGAGCAGCCTTGAATCATGCCAGAAGCTGCCCTCGCTTTGTAACCTCGGTGGTAGCAGTACCCTTGTCAAAAGTGCAGAGCCCAAGCCGGACTCCCGTTTCAGGAAAGGGAAACGAAAAAACAAACGGGAATCTTTCAAGGCGCTCTTTAGCCCAAGTGTGCCCTGGGATTGTGGCTGGAATCCAAACTGTGCTTAGCGTTCGAGAAAACGAAAGTAGGGACTAGAAAGGGGGGTAAAGGACAGAGTGGCTAAGACCACACTAACTGCGGATTTGAGCTTCTGTTTTTACCTTAGCGTTGGACTCTGACCTTTTTTTTATATATATATACATTCATCTTTGCCCTGAAATTGTTCACTAGTACAAGACTTAAAGATTCAGGTCGCTTTTAAAAATCCTGTCACTTGGGAGGAAGAGGCAGTCGATCTCTCGAGTTCGAGGCCAGCCTAGTCTACTGAGCAAGTTCCAGGACTACATAGAGAAACCCTGTCTCTCGACAAAAACACAGAAATTGCATAAGTTAATATAAGTTGCTAAAGGAACCAAGTGAAAACTGGCTTTTATTTTATCGACTACTTGAATAAGTCCCCCAGCCCACATCTCCCCCACCCCAACCCCACCCCCGTTTCCTGTGTGGCTTGATTTGTGTAATCTCATTCCTGGAAAGTTGGATCTGGCCACCTCCCTGTTTAGCAATTGGAGCTAACAAGTGAAGCTTACTGAAAAGTGAAGCAATTCGGGGGCGTTTCCTTCTCAAGTTCTCCTTACAATAGGACTCGCCACCTGGGTACATACAATAATTGTGCCACTTTGAATAATGAACAAAGAAATGGTGGGGCAGTGGACTAGACAGAGACCCTGCATCTGGACAGAGGCTTGAAGGAGTTTAGTGTCAGGTGGAGACACTTCCTGTGTGAGTGTCTACAGTGCCCCTCTGCTCAAGACCCGAGAAGGAGCTCTCATTTTTACTCACAGTACTTTCAATATTCTACATTATATATTTAGTTTTCCTATTAGCCCTGGGTCTCTAGATTTACTGGTGAAGTGATTGTATAGAGCTTTGCATGGTCGGTAAGTATGGAAATACAGATTTTATTCCATCTATATAGATAACATAGGCAGTATAAATGTACATACATATGTATATTACAGTACAGACTCTATACTGCGCATGAATACCTCCTTGAAAAGACAGGGTGTTCACAAAGTGTCTGTCTCTTTAGGAAATATTTGTAGAAGTATGCCTGGGTACACAATGCACTCTTTTAGTACAGCATTAAATAAACAGGGCCCAGTAGAACCAACTCTGGTCAATGTGTGCTAACAAGTGTGGTGTTTTTTTGTTTTTTTTTTTTAATTTTTATTTTTTAAATTAAATTTTGGCAAACAAAAAAGCCTTACCTAGCCACTAAACTATTGACCAGAAGAATAAACTGGAATCCTAGGCTTTGGTGTCGTACAGAACTGAGATCCCTTTTGAAATATTGCTAACAAAAGTTGGAAGCCTTTTTATTATTTTTTTTTCTTCCAGTGAACCAGAGATAAGAATATAAAGATGTGAAAATGAGCATCTTAATTCAGCCAGTGAACTGAGCGGCATTAAACAACAGCTTTGGTTCTGTTTTTTTAGGTGCTTCATTTATAAGTAAGGAAAAAACAAAACAAGCAAGCAAGCAAACAAACAAACAAACAAAAAAAAAAAACAACTCCTCAAATTAATGAGAGAGCATTGGGCTTCCCCAAACACCATTTTGAAATCATGCAGGAACCCAGTAAAAGTAACTGGGCTTTGAGAGGTATTTTTGCTTCTTTAAGTTTACGTCTTATATCTGTCGAACACTTGACCACTATATTTTCAGTGGATTTTAGTTGGTGTATAATCTATTTTCATTCGGTGCTTACACATTTCATTCGCAGTTTTAAGGTTTTTTTTTTTTTTCCTTTTTGTGAGCATGAAAAAGTGATGTGGATTTTTCGAAGGAAGCTTTCTATCACAAGGGTCATACTTCTTGTACAAGTTTGCAATCAGGGGTGTTGGTTCCCCAAATGCTCACCAGTGCCTCTTAGCACCCATTTGTGGAAATATATTTGCATATCTATCTGCTTCAGTTTGACTATCGCCCAACTCACAGTTTGACAGATGAAATGTGTTTTATTTGAAATACTTTTCAGACCTTTCCAAATGCGCAAAGTCTACCTAAAAACATAAATGAAAGTACCTAAAATTTATTGGATTTTTGACTAAAGCACAGCCAAGAGTACCTGAAAATTATTTGATATGTGACCTTACTGTAAGGATTTTGCCTTACCACTTGACCTACTGCAATTTTTTTTTCTTTACCCATCATGAAATCTCTCGTTCAATTGCTCAGCAGTTTTAAAGCTATAAGGTGTTTCTGAACTGTGTCAGGGCTTATATTGACTTTCGGGCAGTGAAGAGAAATGTGAGCTGGTTTGTCTTTTGCATTGGATGACTTATAGAGAAGCATTTGTTTTCATTCATTAACAGCAAATTCTAGTTAAATAGCCTCAACTAGTTTGTACTTATTTTATAAACACAGGTAATGTTGTAAGATTCCAAAAATGCTTTTAAAAGCAATAGAAATTTCAAGATCTCCAGAGACAGGTGTTCACTGGACCTCGTCTGAACTGTGAAGACATGATCATTGTCACTCATGGTTTTTCCCTGCCCCAGATAGGAACATTTTACAGTTAAGAAAAAAAAAAAAAAAAAAAAAAAAAAAACAAAAACAGAAAAGAACTGAGAAGATAGCTCAATAGCTCAGTAGATAAAGTACATGTTATACAAGCACAAAGATTGCAGGTTGGAATCATAAGACTCTCTACATAGACTCCCAATGGGTGTGGCTACTACCTACAATTCCAGCTTGCAGACAGAGACCATGGCTCTTGCCAGCGTCAAGCTGATTAGATAGACTGGGTAAAATTGGCAGGCTTTGCCTCTGTAAATAAAATGAAATGTGATGGAGGAAGATGCCAGATGTCGACTTTGGCGCTCTAAGCTGCAGTCCATGTCTACACAATTCAAACATACATGTACAGATGCATAAATGCCTCATACACACTTAAAAGAAAATGTGTTAATTAAAATTGTTAAGTTGAAAAAAAACTAGAAAAGAAATGGGGTTTGTGGTTATAATAACAAAAACATTATACATAGTTGTATTTATAAATACTTTCATGTATATGGTGCCTCAATTTTCCCTAAATGTGTCACATAATCTAGTTACAAAGAAGAAAGTAGTAATCAGGGTATTTCTTGAAGTTCCTCATTTGTTCTGGGTAATTGTAAATCACTTGTGCAGTTTATTTATGTTTATTACATACTTTTCTCCCTTTGTGTACATCAGAAGTCCTCCTTTTTTATACAAACCTGAAACTTAAGAATAAAACAACAACAGAAAACATTGTTTAACAATCAGCACATGCTTCAACTAGGAACACAATTCCAAGTTATTTTCAAGGCTGGGCTGTGGTTCTCCTTTGCCTGGGGGGCGGGAGGAGGGCTGTTGGCCACCAGCCCAGGAAGCAGGAGGAGCAGAAGGTGAGATGAAGGACTCTGAGACGATCCCTCTCCCCCCTAGCACCCTGAGCATGACAGAACAGCCTCTGGGAATCACTTCTACGAAGTAGTTCAGCTTCATTTGGGGATAACAAAGGCTGTTTCCTCCTTGGAGGATGGGTAGGGGGCTCCAGGGATAGCTGTACATAATTGGTTAGGACTAGGCACTTCAAGGATGCTTGATTTGCATTTGACAGCAGGATCCTATCAGATGAATGGGAACATAGTACTTAATTATC